AAAAAAAAAAAAAAACTCTCAAGAAGTGCGTGAGGGAGCTGCGGAAGGAGAGGGGAGCAGCTCTGCCAATCAGCCCAATTTCAACAGAAACACACAGAAGCAAGGCGAAGCTTCTAGAAGGAATAAACAGACCCGAGTCACCTGAAGCATGGCTTCCCCGCGGAACTTCTCGGCTCCCTGGGGAGGGGTCCCTGCCAGGTGTGTTTGCAGTGTGGCTGCAGTTCCCAAACGGGGGTGCTGATTTCTGCAAACGTGGGACTCGACAGGCTCTTGGCTTTGAGGACTTTGTGGCCTGGGGCTGGTGACGGTCAGCAGCCGCCGGCCAGGGGCGGGGACTGATTTCCTCTGTCTCAAAGGCCCCGCCGGGCACCCTCTCATCCCTCCTCTTGAACCTCCACGGGGCACTACATGGGAAGAGCCTCCCAGGGATCTGCTCACTCGTGACTCATGGAGCTCCTGGGTCGAGGGGGCACGTGGTGGCGGGAAATCAGAGAGGCGGCAGGCTCCCGGGTTAGAGAGAAAGTGAAAATCCACCGAAAATCCATGGGGGAAGTGGTGCTTGAGAGGCACTGGGGAGCACCAAAGCGAGTATTTCTCTCTCCCCGGGGAAGCAGCCTCGGAGACAGAATCAAAGTCCTGTCAGAGGAACCGCACAGCAGCCGATCAGAGCCAGAGCAGGAAACTGGGAGAGGGGAGTGGGGTGCTGGAGCCCAGCAGAGCAGGAAAGGGCCCCAAGCAGGGGGAGAGGTCGGGGCTGCGGGAGCTGGACCCCAGACCCAGAAGAGACCTTCTCTCTGGTCATCCTGAGCCCACCTTGTCCTTCGGCTCCAGAACTGCCACCTCGGACCTGCTGCCCACTTACCCCCCAGGGGGGCGACGCCACGCCCCACCCCCCCTGGACACCTCCTCTCCCCCCTGCTGCCCCCTCCCAGCTGTTCCCTTGCTCCATTGCATTTATCCGGGGCTACTCCAGTTTAGAGGCTGGGGCACAAACAGTCCATGAGCTGGGGAAGGTCCGAGATGGTCATGAAAATGACCAGGTCAGGGGATCCTCACCAGAGCCGCACGTCAGAATTGCCTGAAGGGCATTTACCAAATCCACATGCCTGCTGCACCTAACTAGGCAGGTCTGGGTGAGGCCTGGTAAACAGGGTCTAAAACATCCCGGGGAGGTTATCTAGCCAAGGCACTCCTGCCTAGTGACCAAGGGTCCAGGGCACGAGGGGCAGCCACACAAGGCCCCAGGCTGGAGGTGACCCCAGTCTGGGCATTAGGGCAAGCCCGGGGAGGGGCCTGCAGGACAGCTCACCATATCGGTGCCCAGCAGGACCGTCTCCCAGAGGTGAGCTCCGAATAAATAAAGGAAGCACAGACAGAGCTCCCGTGCTGGAGCCTTAGCCCCTCATCATTAAAATGGTCTGGCCCTGCCCTGTCGGGCTGGAGGGTGCTGCCTGAGCTATTGTGGGCCGGGGCTTCGCATGGGCCGGGCACAGGGCGGGGCAGTGAAGCCACAAGTGAGCCACTGCTGGGGTCCACTTTATACCCGAGCGGACCGAGACGGGAGGGGAACCCACCCAGGGTCACCCAGGCCCCTGGTCCCTCTCTCCTGCCCTGCCATCCACCCACCTTGCCCGCTGACCCCTGGGCGGCTGCTAGACCCCACCTGGATGCCCCTCCAGAGGCGCCTGGCACTGGCCTCCCTCGTGGAGCCCATGTCGCCCTGGGTCACAACCCACTTCGTCCTCAGGCCCTGAGTCCCCAGGGACTTTACCCACTTACTCTCTTACCTCAAGAATGTGTCCAGGTGGTGGAGATGTGGCCGTAAGGAAGACAGATGCCTGCCTCAGGGAGCTCGGAGCTCGGGGCCCGGGGCTTTGGGGGCGAGACAGACACTCCCTCCCACACACATCAGAACACGCGAGTTTGAGCTGTAGTGAGCCCAAGTACAATACAGGCTGTGAGGGGATCACACAACGGGGGCTTATCCGCGGGGCGTCGGGACAGGGAGAGGGCAGACTTCCCCTCATTCAGGAAGAGGCCGACAGCAGGGGCCAGGACCCTCCCTCGACAAGGCAGGGGGAGGGGCTGGGCTCCAGCCCCCATGGGACGAGGACGCTCCGTTCCGACACGTGTGCACGGTCCGCGCTTCCTGGGGACCCGCAAGCTGGGCATGAGAGTGGGAGGTTCACGGAACCAAAAGACCAGCGGGGCCAAAGAGACGTCAGGAAGGCCCCTGGGTGAGGGAGGAGCTCGGTGTGGCAGACGGAGGGGCGGGCGACATGGGCAAAGGGAGCTGGAGCGCCGGCGGCCTGAGCCCCCTTCCAGCCTCTGGTCCAGATGCCCACCCCCCCCACCCCCACACTTCCCACTTCCTCCCCTCTGCACCCACGGCCTCGGCCGCCCGTCCAGCACCGACCTCGGCCTCCAGAGGCCGCGCCCCACCCATGGGCTCAATAAACATGGACAGGCCGGGGGCGGGGTGGGCAGGAAGGAGGCCAGGGGCTGCGGGGATAAAATGCCTTCTCCCCAACACATCCCGTCTCCTGCCAGGACAGAGCTGGTCGCCTGCAGCTCCCCTCCCAGAGGACTCCCAACCTGCTGCCCCTAGGGCGGCCAAGCCCTCCACCCCTCCCGCCAGCGTCGTCGCCTCAGAAGGGCTTGAACCTTAGCTGAACCTCCAACCCGGCCTGCTGGGCCTCGGGATGCAGCCGCCCCGAACCTCGGATTATCTATCCTGTCTCTCCTCTCAGGCCCACAGCACAAATTCCACCGGCTCCGCCTTCAGAAATGCTCAGACTCCCATGGCTTCTCACCCCCTCTACTGCCACCCCAGTCAAAGCTGCCATCGCTTCACACCACGGTGACTGTGACAGCCCCAGCCCAGCCATCCTGGGCACAGCAGCCAGCGTGGTCCTTAAAATGAACCTCAGGGACTTCCCTGGTGGTCCGGTGGCTAAGACTCCACGCTCCCAATGCAGGGGACCCGGGTTCAATCCCTGGTCAGGGAACTAGATCCTGCATGCCGCAACTAAGAGTCCACGTGCTGCAGCTAAAGATCCCAAGTGCTGCAGTTAAGACCTGGGGAGCCAGATAAATTAAAAAATAAAAATAAAAACTATAAAAAAAAAATAAAATGGGGAATTCCCCAGTGGTCCAGGGGTAAAGAATCCGCCTTACAATGCAGGGGACATGGGTTCGATCCCTGGTCAGGGAGCTAAGATCCCACATGCCGCGGAGCAACTAAGCCCGCCGCCTCAACTACAGCCCGTGTGCCACAAACTACAGAGCCCACATCACAACTACAGGAGAGAAAACCCACGCACCACAACTAGAGAGAAGCCCGCGCGCCGCAAGGAAAGATCCCGCATGCCTCAATTGAGACTTGACGCAGCCAAAAATAAATTAAATAAATAAATCATAAATAAATCTTTAAAAATAAATAAATAAGATGAACGTCAGACCAAGTGGAAACCAGGGTCCCTGCCTGGATCCCGGCCCCCCGGCCCCGGTGCTGTCCCTCAGACACAACAGAGCCCCTCTGTCCTGGGACCGTGCGCCGGGAAGCCCTTCCCTGGCCTGGTGCTCACACCTCCGCCCCTCGAGCCACCTGGGCCAGGGCCTCCTGGGTGACTTGTTCACAAGCACTCACCCCCAGCTCTTCCTCCCCAGCCATGTCACCAGCTGACCAGGGTGCGTGGTAACTGTCCTGCTCGTGGCGCAGGGGAGGGACTCCATCTGTCCCGTCCCTGCTGTGCCCTCAGTACTCGCTCTGGGACCCGGCATGAGGTGGTCACTCAGGACACGTTTGTTGAATGAAGGCAGGGCCAACCGTCAGAGGCCGGTCCCCAGCCTCCACGTGGCAAGCCCAGTAAGGACAGCGCCAAGGCCAGGGCTGCCCAGGTCTGGAGATGGTTGAAGAGGGTGTGGCTACCGTAAATTCCATTTTTACGGTGTGGACAGAGGGCCACATACCGACTAATTTGGAAGCAGTACACATGGAATGTACCTGTGATGCAGAAGAGGACGTAAATACAGCAGCAAGAACAGACCCGGCAGCGCAGGGGTGGGGGGGGCCCTGGGCCTCACAAGTCTTCCCCGCGCCCCGCCTTCCACTACCCCACACACCCCGGGGGCCTCTCCCTCCTGGGGCTCCAGCCAGTCCCCAGGGCTGCGGAGGGAGGGAGGAGGTGGGGATCGTGTTGCAGGGGACCCCCGAAGCCGAGCAACGTCATTCTCCTTGTGATTAAGAGGCGGTCACTGCTCTGACTGCGGGCGGGCGGGCGGCGGAGAGTGAGGAAAACCACTCGTCAGACGTCAGGGCAGCGGGCTGCACACAGACCGACTCGAGCGGCCCACCGCCCGCTTGCCCCGGGTGGGGGACACGCACCCTTCCTCCGTCTCGTTGATGATGTCGCAGATCTCCATGTTCAGCGTCCAGTCCTCGCTCTGCAGGGAGCCGTCTGTAGCCTTTTCTGCAAATTCAGAAAGAAAACTGGCTTACACTTCTCCTGGAATAAGGACGCCGGCGGGAAAGAGGAGGGACCCGGACCCACCCCACTCTCCCACCAGGCAGATGGGCTGAGCCGACAGCAGCCCTGGGTGCTGCTCCCACGAGAATACCTGGGCCGGGGGCCGGGGGCTGACTCCTAAGCCTGCCCTTCATTCACCAAACTCCCATGAGCTAGAACTCTCAGAAGGAAACGCAGGGGAAAGGCTTCATGACATCGGGTGTGGCAACGATTTCACTCATGGATGTGACACCAAAAGCACAGGCAACGGAAGAAAAAATAGATAAACCGGACTACACAAAAATTTAAAACTTTCTGTGCATTAAAGGACACAATCAACAGAGTAAAAATGGACTAACCTACGGAATGTTAGAAAATATTTGCAAATCTGAGAAGGAGTTAGTATCCTTTAGAATAAATAAAGAAGACCTGAACAGACATTTCTCCAAAAAAGATATACAAATGGCCAACAAGTCCATGAAAAAAAAAGTGTTAAAAATCACTAGTCATTAGGGAAATGCAAATCAAAACAACAATGAGATACCACCTCACGCCCACTAGGACGGCTGCTATCAAAAAAAACAGAAAATAGGGACTCCCCTGGTGGTCCAGTGGCTAAGACTCTGCGCTCCCAATGCAGGGGGCCCAGGTTCGATCCCTGGTGGGGGAACTAGATCCCACATGCGTGACGCAACTAAGAAGCCCGCATGCCACAACTAAAGGACCCCTCGTGCCACAACGAAGATCCAGTTAAATCAAACAGCTATAAATAAAATATATATTAAAAAAACAGAAAATAACAAGTGCTGGAGAGGATGTGGAGAAACTGCTTGTGCACTGTTGGTGGGAATGGAAAATGATATAGCCCTTATAAAAAATATGGCGGGGGCTTCCCTGGTGGCACAGTGGTTGAGAGTCTGCCTGCCGATGCAGGGGACGCAGGTTCATGCCCCGGTTCAGGAAGATCCCACATGCCGCAGAGCGGCTGGGCCCGTGAGCCATGGCCGCTAAGCCTGCGCGTCTGGAGCCTGTGCTCCGCAGTGGGAGAGGCCACAACAGTGAGAGGCCCGCGTACTGCAAAAAGAAAAAAAAGAAAAAAAAATATGGCAGGTCCTCAAATTATCAAAAAGAGAACTACCATATGATCCAGAAATTCCACTTTTGGGTACACACCCAAAAAGAGTTTCAAAAGAGTTGAAAGTAGGATCTCAAAGAGGTATTTTCACACTCATGTTCACAGCAGCATTATTCAAAATAGCCAGGAAGCAACCCAGGTGTCTACACACAGATGATGGATAAACAAAATGTGGTAGGTTCACACAATGGAATATTATTCAGCCTTAAAAAGAAAGGAAATTCTGACACCTGCTCCAACATGAATAGAACCTCAAGGATATTATGCTGAGTGAAACAAGCCAGATACAAAAAGATAAATACTGTGTGATTCCACTTATTTGAGCTTCCTAAAGTAGTCAAATTCATAGAAAGAATGGTGGGTGCCAGAGGCTGGGGAAGGAGGTGGTGAGTTGCTGCTGAATGCGGACAGAGCTTCAGTTTTGCAAGACGAAAAAGGTCTAGAGAGCGGTTGCACAACAATGTGAATGTATTTAACACTTAAAAATGGTGGCTGGAGTTTTGTTATGTGTATTTTAACACAATTAAAAATTAAAAAAAAAAATCCCCCTAAGGTAGGCATGATTCTCTCCCACATTTAGAAAGAAGGAAGTGAGGCTCAGAGGTTGGGTCCTCGGCCGGGATCACATAGCTGAGTTGGTGGCACTGACATCCGGTCTCAGGTGTGTCTGTCTCTAACGCCTAGGCATTTGCTGATATGGCCTCAGCAGTTGGCACAGGTGAGTTTGGACCCAACGTTGGGATCTTAGCTGAATTCCAAGCCTGCCCCACCCTAACTGCACAATTCTCGAGAGGGAGACCATCACCACCCTTTCAACAAAAGCTTCAAACAACCCGCACTTCTACTGACGCTCCATAAAAACCCCGTGACCTCTGTACGTGTTGGAAGTGGCCTTGTTTTACTGGAGGCAGCTGCGGAGAAGGGACGCTCGTTTTGTACACAACACCCTGGAACTCACACACCCAAACGAAGGCTGTCCTTACAAGCGGTGAGCACACACTCCAAACAGCTACTGCTACTGCTTCAAACATCTGTGCAACAGCCTTCAGTCTGCATGGAAAAAGCCTCACTGCTTTAATTTTTACCGAAAAGGCTATATCCGCAACCTTTTCACCCCCTTTATTCGTCACCCTGGGCACCCAAAGACTCCCTACCCGCGAATGAGCAAACCCGCCCCCAAGCAGTGAGAGTCACCCCTGATGAGCCTGTGCGTGCATGCGGTGGGCTGGGCAGGGGGCGGGGGTCTCAACCACCAGAGCCCATGGTGCCGCTTGGCAGGAGCATTTGATCCGGGGAGAGCGGGGGCAGACACGCAGGAGGAATGGCCAAAGCACCATCCAGTCTAGAGAAGGGAAGACCGAGGGCAGAGGCCGCTCGAGGTGAGGGCAGCACGAGGCAGCGTCAGGACGAACCTTGCCCCCCCCCCCCCCCCCCCAAGGGGCGGTTAGCCTCCACACACGGCAGGTCCTGGCAACCAACAGGACTGGGGGCTGGCCATGCCTATCAGACCACCCACAGTAGTCAGCCTGCCACAACAGAAGGACCCACGCAGCCCACATAGGGGACCCCCTTAGAGCATATAGCCCTGGTGACCAGAAGGGAGTGCGCTGCTGGGACACACAGGACGTCTCCTACAAAAGGCCACTTCTCCAAGGTCGAGAAACAAAACCAACCTACCAAACACACAGAAATAAAACGGCAAATTAGGCAAAATTAGGCTATAGGCAATTATGTTCCAAGTGAAGCAACACGATAAAACTCCAGAAAAACCAAGTAAAGTGGAAATAGGCAAACTACCCAATAATACTTGTAAAGATGTTCAAAAAACTTGGGAGAAGAATGGATGAACAGAGTGAGAAGTTAGAAGTTTTAAACAAAGAGTGAAAAAATAAAAAGCCATATTAAGCACAGCTGAAGAATACAGTAACTAAAATGAAAAATATACTAAAAGGAATCAACAGTAGATTAGATGATACAGAGCAGCAGATCAGCTAACTGGAAGACAGCCATCCAGTCTAGAGAAGGGAAGACCGAGGGCAGAGGCCGCTCGAGGTGAGGGCAGCACGAGGCAGCGTCAGGATGACCCTTGCCCCCCCCCCCCCCCCCGCTTGCCCGGCCACTCGGCTCTCTGAAGGGCCCTCCCCTTCAAGGTGTCCCCGCCCAGAGGAGGGGACTCCCCCCGGGGTCACACAGCAGGGGTGTCTGCGGCCACAAACCCAGTGGCCTCCTAATAAAGCCGTCCTGCCTGCGACCCTACGGAGCCAGCGAAGGGACAGGCCAGCTGGCCAAAGGGCCGCCCTCCGCCGGTGGTCTGGCCAGTCACAGCACGGGCCACGGCACAGACTCGGGAAGAGAGAGCGGCAGTGGCACCGCGGCAGGCTTAACAGAGGAAACGTTCAATCAATGAACCTCACATCCAAGTTAGGGGTAGCAGCAGAGTCCATGAACCTCCCCCTCCCCCGGCACCGGGAAGGAGGTCAAAGGCATGAGAACCCATCCTCGGGGTCAGCACTTTCTATTCGATTACCGGCGTTCTGAGTTTTCAAGCTAAAAGATAGATACTCCTTTTGATTGTAAAGAACCAACCCCCAAAGAATGCTTCTTTCTTTTCATTTTGCTGGATATGCCACAGAAATACAGCTGTGGGTATTTGGCTCGGCTGAGACAGATGAAGGAGGTACGGCTGACAAAGGAGCTCAAATCAGTTCTCGTTTTCCTCTCCTCATAAAAGAATTCCCCCAGCAACAGAACTGAGTTGGATCTGATTGCCCTGCAACTGTGGCCACTCCCATGGGCTCCCTCCCTCCGTCCTGTCCCCAGGCCAGAGGACGCAAAGTTCAGGCTCATTTCTTTTATCGCGTAAATTGTCAAAACAGAAGATAAATCCTGGTGCGACAGCAGAAACACAATGCTCCAGGGGACAAGGGCCCGCCAGCTAGCCCTTGGGATGGAGAAAGATCAAAGCACCAGTGACCCGGGCTGCAAAGGGCTGACCTTTTAGAGGTCCCCGGTGATATGCTAATGACCAGGGGCTGAGCAGGCCTGGGCAGGGCAGGGCTGGACAGGGCTGTGAAGGGGCAGACACAGCTCCCATTAAACCTTCAGCGTAAAAGAGTATGTCATCCTGATGCTGTTGCCATGGCATTTTCTCCATTCAGAAAAGGCTGCCTCCTGCCTGGTGCGGGCTGGGGGCCAGGGCACCTTGAAGGTCGACCCTGGGACTTCCCTAGCGGTCCAGTGGTTAAGGCTCCGCGCTTCCACTGCAGGGGGCACGGGTTTGATACCTGGTCAGGGGCCGCTCGACCCTGCCAGCCATGACAGTGCCCTCTCCCAGCAGGGCTTTCCTCCAGCAGCCCACCCCTCACCCCTCCCACGCAGTGGGAAATCCCAGGCAGTCCTGCTGGGAGGAGCCTCGAGACCCAGTGGCTTGGTTTCTTGGCTGCGGATGTCCACACTCTGATGTGAATTGGAGCAACTTCAGAAGCAGCCAGCCCCAGAAGGCGGAAGAGGGCTGGATTGGCAGTTTTGCATTCAGCAACATCCTTCTGGTGAGAATGGAGGAAAAAACAGCCAAATTTTCTACCTCCCCAGCAATCAAGAGTGTGAGAAGGAGCCCGGAGGTGCCGGCGCAAAGAAACAGCGTTCCGGGTTGCTTCGTGCCTGGTGTGGAGAACGGAGGGAAGGGGGTCCGGATGGGCAGGAAGCTCATCTGATGATACGCACCAATGACGGAAGCAGCCATCTGGATTCCACACTGCTACATGCTAGTGGGGCAGGTGGGCACAGACCAGCCAGGGGGAAAGAAAAATCAACCCCAACACTGTACTCA